CATTCAGTCGCTCAAGATGCTTCGGGTCTTTTCAAAAAATTATATCATTTTGTTTAAGAGTTCATTGCCAATTTAAAGTAGATAAAACGAGATTTGTAATGTGTATTATGCAAGTGGGAGCATTTAGCCAGTTTCTTGTTGCTGCTATTGTTGCTCTTGCTGCTGTTGCTGTTTGGGTTGCTGTGTTGAATTCTAGGTGGGCTGAAATGTTTCAAATGCCACCACGTTCCTGGAAGGCGGACGTCGCGTCGGGCGTTCGCGAACACACGCACTTACACGCTGTTATGCCAAAATCAGTGGGCGCTGAGGTTGGCAACAGGCAGCAACGATACTGCGCATGAACATGCTTGTGCGTCGGCCTACAGATATTTTCATAACTTTTGCGTGTTTTCTTACCCATGTGAAAGCGAATACCTGCATTGACATTTGCAGGATGCAGCAATGCTGTTTGAGTCGGACCTTTAATAGCTACCCACAAAAAAATCAGGACCAAAGCAACAATGGCATTTCCTTTTGCGAATGACATTTTATAACAGAGTACTCTTTTTGTGGCTAACACATGGCGTATACTCAATGCCCACACAAAGCGTGGTTGCGCTTCAGTCAATATGTTAATGTAGTAAGCATATAGTAAGTAGTACTCGTATGTATGCCAGGCACGCTTTTGGCTTAAATTACCGTAAGCATTCCGAGAATAATGTTTAACTTTCACTTTTCCTCAGGCAGCAGCAGATGCGAGCAACTAAATGAAGAAAAGAGGTTCCTTTAAGCACAACCAGCGCACAAAGAAAGGCAACCTGCAGCGCTCAAAAGTACACAAGCATATGTAAAGTTTCTTTTACACGCACATCTTGTTTCATTTTATTTATACGTACTCGTATTAATTTAAACGCCGCTCCTGCCCTGCTGCCAGCCCTGCACACCGACATATTAAACGCCTACCATTGTGGTGCTTTTCCCGTCATTCATGTTGTTTACTTTCACGTATTTATTTATTTTTTTTTTTAAACAACGATTGTCGTGCACACTCTTAGGCCCAAGGATATGGTCGTTCATGATTTATTTGGCACAATAAAATCTCTTCACATAACAAGTGACATGGCTTTTTGCAACAGATAATTCTTTGTTCCTCTTGACTTTTGCAAAAAGAGCAGACAACAATTAAATGGGCTCAGACAAATGTCATGTTTCCTGTTAGTCGATTTTTTGAGTTCATTGAAACATAGGGCGCTAGATAATACCGTTAAATTGTGATTAATTGAAGTAATTAGAAACAGAAATGTGCGGTGATCGATCCGCTAATGTTTTATGAAAAATGCAAATGTTATTTCCCGTACGATTTACGCATGTTTTATACTTGTTTTTGATTAAACTATAAAGTCAGTCGACATTTTAAATAATAATAATACAATAATTTTACTTATGCCATAGGAGCGTGTGTAGGAAAGTATAGTGAATTAAAATTTAATTTAAATTTTACGACTGTGCTCAAAAGAATATAATTTACTCATTAATTTTGATTAGGAATGGTTCTGAAACGCATATCGGCTTTGATCATTTGAGTATTCGAATCATCATGTTTGAAAGGCTTCTGCAATATTGGTGGAAGACATCAGAACTGTGACATCAGAATCTTTGGATGATGATAAGACTTTGAAGTACTTAATTGACATTTTCCCATGTAATTTAGTTTAAAACAAGAGAGAACGCTACAGTCGAGCAAGCCCGACAGTGTAATACCCTGTACCCAGGTAAACTTCCGTCACTGAGTTATATGCGCCCATAGCAGCAGCAAAAAGAGGAAGAAGAAGAGCGAACTCGTTGCTGCAGTTTGTGGGGGTTGTACTGTAGAGAATTTGTTTCGCTAATAACTTTTCTCAGAATTGACCGAATTGGATAAAATTTTAAACAACTGTAGACAATTATATATAAATTATGTGTGCAAAGTTTGGTTGAGGTAGCATTTGAAATGTGGACGCTATTGACGAAATTCTGTAGCGGGGGAAGGGGGGGAAAATTAAAAAAAAAAAAATAAACTCGTCCTTACTCGGACCTAGGAGAATCTGGATGCCAACTTTGGTTATTCTAGCTTTTATAGTTTCTGAGATCCTCGCGTTCATCCAGACGGACAGACGGACAGACGGACGGACAGACGGACAGACGGACGGACATGTCTAGATCGATTTCTCTCGTCATGCTGATTCAGAATATATATACTTTATGGGGTCGGAGATGCTTCCTTCTGCATGTTACATACTTTGCACAAACCTAATATACCCTTTTTACCCTACGGGTACAGGGTATAAAAATAGCGCTTTGATTGGCTTAAAAATATAGTTTATATCAATGCATAGCATTTATTATTGCAGATTTAAAAACAACATTTGTCTAAATTATACACCGTAAAAAATTAGCTTGCTTTTAAATCCAAATTCATCAGAACATTTATCGAAAAAGTCAACAACTACAGCAATAAATACTGAGACACCACGTGGCCTTCTCGTCGCGCACAGCCATTAGCCGTATTGCTTGCGGTCAATGTCAATGACAAGCGGCCAAGCGGCAGAATCTACGCGCTGCCCCTTAACTCGTTTAGAAGAAACTGGTCAATTAATCTTATATATGTTTGCGCACGCCTTGATTAATGGTATTTTTCTTCCAAAGGGCTTGCCGGAAGTCGCGTTGTGTCCGCTTCGGCAAATCTGTGGAGCATCTCATTAAGTTTTGCTGCCAACTCTGTGTAAATTGTAATTTTTCTTATTCTTTACTGCTTTCCTTTTGACCCTTTCGGTAGTTAAAATTTGCAGTTGAAAATCATTTTCTGTTCATACAAATATAATTAACTAGCGAATTTTTAGCAAATAACGTCTTTGAAAAAGCTTATTGGATCCTAATGCTGAAATGCTATAGAAAAAATATATACGAGTATATGATTAATACATCGGTATATATTTTAGAATTGATATATACTCTACGAAAATAATAATACAAGAAATAGTTTTGATATTTAAGGTATATTAAAATATTATTAAACTAATATATTATCAATTGATTAATAAAAAACGGATCGACTCGATGTAAAGTAACAGCTGCCAAAGTACTTAGTATATATTATTAGGGCGTTATCATTTCGAAATACGAGTATTAATGCCATGATCCTGCAAATAGTTCGATTCTAGTTCCACTTTAATTTTTAAAATGGGTAACACTGTAAAGTAGCTACTAACTTCTTTATTATATTACTGTTTTTACTTACAGCTATTGTTAATCAAGGTCGAACAATGACTGTATGTGAGGAACACTAGGAGTCTATCATCCCTGGCAACAGATATGTAAGAGGATGAACTGGGGCTGCTACCTCCAATGCGGTTGCTATAATTTCTTTTTTAATGCGTTGGTGTGTGCGTGTGGGCGCAAAATTAATTTATGTACACACACAGAAAACAGTGACAAAAAGACATGTCAATTGCTAGCAAATAGAATACTTAGAACGATTAAAAATACCTTTACAGGGCTCTTCGTTCTCTCAGCCACAATTTGAAACAAGTAAAAAAGCTAAAGTGGGGTGTCCCGACTTTGAAATACTCTGTACATATATTTATAATAATATATTTATAATAATTATAATATAATTAATATAATTGTAATATAATATGTTTATAATAATTATAGAAAATAAAAAAAAATTAAGAAAATTAAAAAAAAAATGTTGATCGATTTTACCTTTCTCGGTATTTGAACTCACGTAAATGGTGTATAATTGCACATTTACATAGCAATTGCGTCTGTGTGAGTGTATGTACATATTCCTATGTGCATCTATTCGTGTCTGTGTAAACATGTTAGCAGTCAACCAAACAGCAACATCAACAACAGCCGCGGGCAGCGCTTGAGCAGCGCTGCAGCAGCAAATATATTTATGGCTATAACTTCTTGTTAAATCGGTCTATCATAGTGAAACTTGGCATACGGACACATAATAACTAATTAGGGGTATTTGCAAAATTTTCGAAATTCCAAGAATTACGGGAGTTGGAGAAAATCACAATTTGCGTAGAAGAGGGGGGAGGGAGGGAAATTCCAAAATATACATTTTCTGCGTATTCACACAGGCATCTTGGAAAAATTTGGTGTTCCTAGGTCTTATAGTCTCCGAGATATAGGCGATTATACGAATGGAAATTCGGGAAAACCCCCATAGGGGGGAAGTGGGGGGGGGGGAAATCAAAAAAATAAAACAGACTCGTATAGAATACACACATAAGGCATCTTTGTGCAAAATTTGGTGTCTCTATCTCTTATAGTCTCTGAGATCCAGGTGTTCATACGAACGGACAGACAGACAGGGCTAGATCGACTCGTCTCGTCATGCTGATCAAGAATATATATACTTTGTGGGGTCTGCCACGCCTCCTTCTGCCTGTTACATTTTTCAGCTCCCGCAAACCTAATATGCTTCTGAACATTTCATGTACAGAGTATAAAAAGGGCGCGCCGAAAAGTATGCTGCGTTGGTTGAATTGAGGAAGGCAGACGGGAAGGACAATGAGGGTGGTTCCTGCATAATGCCGCGTTTCGATTTCAATGTCAGGTGACAGACGAACGAGAAAAATCTTAGACAGCTGTGCGACTGGCAGTTAACGTTACACAAAGTGCTCCATATTTGTTGGCTGTGCGTTGAACTTATGAGAAAAGTTTCACGGTCGCGCCTGAGACGGCATGTCGTGCCATGATAATTTTATTGTTAACTTTAAACAATTGTTTGCATAAGGGGCTCTGGCTTTTCTTACAGTTTGACGAGTTGGCGAGACATCGCGCTTTTCTTGTCGATAATTGATTTAGGACGGTGTCAGTGCAACAACATTAGCAAACAAGTAACCTTAGTTACCTTTTTAGTTTCGAAAAGAACTAAAAACAGTGTACTGTGATGTATGCCATCATTACCCGCATTTCTACCTATTACCTTTTCACCCTTTTAGTGCAAGATATTAAAGCTAAACTACTGTTAAAATCAATGTTTCTTTAATATGGGTATATATTTCGCGCAGATGCAATACTTTTTGGCCACCATATCTTTTACGCATTTGGGCTCGTTTTCATATTGGCTGATGCGACTTATGTCATTCACATCGATGTCGATGTGTTCCGTCTGTCTGTTCCATCTGGTAGTCGCCTCGAAGAGCGCTTTCTTCGGGTTCGCTTCGTATTGAACTCGATAAGCCATAAAATTGCTATTCGCATCGAGCTGCTCCTTGGTCTCGGCTGAAACAATTTTGTGGAGGGTCAGCTTGCTGCATACATCTGTAAGGTTCCTGGCTACTAAGTATTCGTTGGTAGCCTCAACCAATTGTGATGTCAGCCTCTTCACAACCGCATCTATAGTTTTAGACTCTTCATACATATTACACGTGCACCAGTGCTCGGAAATTCCCGCATCGGAACAAGTTCTGTTCTCCGGCATCTCGAAGAAAATGCTATGGCAATCGGGACATCCATCAGCTCGAGGCAAATCGGCGGCCGACGTATTCAATTTTAATATATGCTGGAGCGTGGCATAGATATCATAGTTTGATGTCAGGCGGTTCCTATTTAGCTCCAATGCTCGAGCAAAGGAGGCATATTGCTTGCGAAACCATTTGGGCAACCAAATGTACATGTTTGGCATGCGCTCTTCCAGAAATCCACTCTTCAACTTTCGAAGTGGTCCAAAGCGCATGCCATGATCGCTGAAGAAGAGAATGATGGAGTTTTCCATGATGCCGTTCTTCTCCAGTGTGCGCATATACTCGACAGTTCTCTTATCCATGGAGGAGGGCAACGAGAAGGAGTTGTGGCTGAAGGAGTTGGTCCAGAACAAGCCAAAGGAGGGCTGAGACTTAAAGATTTTTGTGAAGTCAATGGCATAGTCATAGATATACTCGGCGTAGTGTCGGCGACCCAAGCAATATGGAATGCCAGATTTTGTTTCGCTTTTCAATGTCTTTTCAATGGCCATCACAAATGGCCGTAGATAGTAATCAGTCGGGGGTTTAAGAAATCCCTTTTGAGGATGATTAAAAGTGGCGAATTTTGCCCAGTCCTCGGCATAGGCAGTGACGAAGCCCTCCTGCTTGTAATCTTTCCAGATCAAATGACAAGTATCTAGGCTATCAAAAATCTTTGACTTGTAACATTTAGTGGACAATGAATTATTGTACCCCGTTAGTAATGCCATTAAATTGGGATACGTATTGACACCGATCTGTGGTGAAATTGTTCAATGAAAGGTGATATAAATGGTCCACATACCTTACTGTAACCTTGCAGCTCGAACCAGAGCTGCTCTCTCAGATATTTGTATGTCAATGGCATAGTACGCTGAAAGTTTATTCTGGATAATGAGTCGATGCCCCATAGCAGAACGCTTGGTTTTTTCGACTTCTCTGGTTTATTGTTTCGCGGCTGATGCACAAAAGCGAAAGCATCCTGCTGAAGAACCCTTGTTGTGTTAATTTTGTGACACTTCGTAATGATGGCCTTTACATGCTGTGGAACCACAAAATCCTGGTGGAAATTACTGCAAGGCAGTAAGCTATAAAGTAATACATTCGACGTTGAGTTTTCTTTCTACATGCTCTCATATCGTAACACTTACTTATAGTTGAAATCTGCTTTCCTCCCACTTCCAGCGCGTTCGATAGGACTGTAACAGCAGCCGATGCTCTCATCGTTCATATGAAGAATGTAAGTGCCCTTCCGACTATCGAATTTCACGGTTATAAGGTTTTTACTTAAGCCACACTTAGTATATTCAGTTCTATGGAATACTTGAAGAGCATCGGCTGAAAATGGATCCACTTTCGACATGTGACATTGAGAGGTATACACAAAATACTTATCCTTGATGTTGAAAAAAGCTGGGATATGACTGGATAAAATTTTGTTTTGTGCATTACTCTGATTTAAGATCGGTGACCAATCTAATTTCCAAATATACAAGCCAATGACCAGAATAGTGGAACAGCATAAGGCCGCCTTTAAACATTTTAAACCGAAATTTTTGTTACCTAAGGTTAGAGATTCGTCGCGCTCATGCTGGCCGACAATATGATAATTTATTCTTGTCATACTTTCTTGATTTTATTTTAAACATTATTAATTCGTACAAGTATTTATAATTAATTTTTCACTTAATTGAAATTTCATTAATTTCATGGCATACTGGCTTATCGATTCTCGGCTACTCTGAAAATAGCTTGAGAGTTGCTTAAGGTATTAGAGTGTTTATTTCACATTTTCATCTAAGTAGCTCTGGTCTTGACATACTATATACTACAAGTGATAACTTAACTCACAAAAAAAGAAACTCGAGTTGAAAAAGCATCCCTTATCTCTTTTATGAGAATCTTAGCATCCCGTCATATATCCTGAAAATGTCAATTCCAAAAAACAGGAGAAAATAAAGTGCAATGTAGTTGTCTTTTATTTTCACAATAAATCACGAAATTTTCACACAAAATATATTAAATACTTGAAAAGAAAAGCAAGAACTTAATATATTCCTTTTACTAATCAGATATGCTTTAACAGCATATACACACATACACACATAAGTAGGCTCTATGGCTATGAATAACAATGGGAGTCTCTCGCCCCCGGTAACAAGTGGAAGAACTGGGGCTGCTTCTACCTTCATTGCGGTTGCTGTAATTACTTTGCTAATGCCGCGTTTGTTGCGTGTATATTTGTGTGAGCACAAAATTAAATTATAATATACATATAAGGTTAAAGTGAAAATAACTTTGAAGCGTTTAAAGAGCATTTCGCTCACTACAATATATTCAGAATTTGCATTTAGGTGCGCCAAAAATATGCTACGTGGGTTGGGCTGATTGGTCGAAAGCAGACGACAAGAAAAGCTTTAAGTAAATGGAATACATCCTCGCATAATGCTGTGTTTCGGTCTCGGTCTCAAGGTCTGGCCACAGCTGAGCGACTGGCAGTTCATAGTTATACAAAGTGCTCCTCATTTGTTGGCTGTTCGTTGACCTCATAAGAAAAGTTGGGCAGTCGTGCCATAATATTTTTTGCTGTTAAGTTTAAACAAATGTGTGCACTGGGAAGGCCTAGCTTTCTTATTGGGCTTTGGCGTATTTTGCCTCATTTCATCAAGCTTATCGAAACGAAAAGAATCACCCCGAAAAGACGCCACAGATTATGAACACTTTGCTTATTGACGAAATAGTCTGATTAAACCAACTTAGAAATTAATTGAAATGCACGAGTTGATATAGTTCTAATCCTTTTTAATATTCTGCTATTAAAAACGAATTAATACTTGTATATATTGTGCCTTCAGAACATCTTTTTTAAATTAGGGCCTAAATAAACTACAGTTGTGTCTGCTGAGGTATTTTTATCTATGAATGTAAGCAAAAGATTATAACTTTCTTACAAATGATAGTTATGTTTTGAACAAGAAATTAGCGAGACAACCTGTTGAAACAGTTTGTTTACCTAACGGGGTCAAAAAGTGGTTTTGATTCAAATTCAAATTGACTCCCTATGCCTTTTGTGTTACTCATGCAATACTTTTTAGTATACATGTATATATTTTGAGTTGAAATTCAATTTAACAATTGAATTTCAACTTTTTGAAAATGAATTAGAATTATGCCCGAGTTGTCCAGTGTCGTCCCTCACCATTGCCTTGATTGAAAGCAATCGCGGCAAGACTCGACTGTCTGTCTATTCACCCTATCTGTTGCTCCATCTCTGATTTCTTGCATTCACTAGTGACTGGCAAGTCCAGTGAACATCATGACCTCCCGAACTGCAAAACCAACACCCACTTCCTTTTCAAACTAAACTGTCAAGTTCTGCTGCACACCAATGAAATTAAAAATTCAAAAGTTGCATTGCTTTCTGTTTATTTAGTTGCTGGTAATTGCATTTGCTTCTTGCAATTCAATTTCCCAGGCCGGTCTTGTACTCTGCCTGTTGCTTTGATTGCATTTCTATTGCTTGGCACTCACTTAAATACCGTGACCCACACTCCAGACTTAAATCAATTTGAGGGCTGCCCAAAAGGACTGTTGACCATGATTTAAGTTTTGGGCTTTGCATGCCAGCTAGTCGACTTTAATATGAGTATTAAGTTGTTCTACTCATGAATTGGAAAACATGTCGAGCATGTGAACAAAGGGAAGCCCCTGCAACTGCCTGTGTTAACAAGCTGTCTGGTTGCCGCCTTAATGTCACTGCCAATTGATTTAATTTTCTATGGGTCGTGCCATCGCGAAACAGAAAAAAGAAAATGTTTGGGGACTGCGGAGCTTTCTAATCGACATTTTTTATGTTTTGCAATGTTGAGCGTCTAATTTTAACAATTTGTTACGCCATTTTTATACCCTGTACCCGTAGGGTAAAAAGGGTATATTAGGTTTGTGCAAAGTATGTAACATGCAGAAGGAAGCATCTCCGACCCCATAAAGTATATACATTCTGAATCAGCATGACGAGAGAAATCGATCTAGACATGTCCGTCCGTCTGTTCGTCTGTCCGTCCGTCTGTCCGTGTGGATGAACGCAAGGATCTCAAAAATAATAAAAGCTAGAATAACCAAAGTTGGCATCCAGATTCTCCTAGGTCCGAGAAAGGACGAGTTTATTTTATTTTTTTTTAATTTTCCCCCCCTTCCCTCGTCAATAGCGTCCACATTTCAAATGCTACCTAAACCAAACTTTGCACACATAATTTATGTATAATTGTCTACTGTTGTTTATAGTTTTATTCACTTCGGTCAATTCTAAGAAAAGTTATTAGCAAAACAAATTCTTGCCAGTACAACCCTCACAAACTGCAGCAACAAGTTCGCTCTTCTTCTTCCTCTTTTTGCTGCTGCTATGGGCGCATATAACTCAGTGACGGAAGTTTACCTGGGTACAGGGTATTACATTGTCGGGCTTGCTCGACTGTAGCGTTCTCTCTTTTTGTTTTTGGCGCAGACTGTTGGCCGTCTTTGTTTGTTTGGTGACTTTTTTTCGGAGACTACGCCTGAGGGGTTTCTATTTCGATTTTTTTGATTACAGAACATATTTATACCCTGTACCCAAAGGGTACAAGGGTATATTAGTTTTGTGCGAGTGCACATGGAACACAAAGTATATATATTCTTGATCAGCATGACAAGCCGAGTCGATATAGCCATGTCCGTCTGTCCGTCTGTCCGTCTGACCGTCTGTCCGTCTGTCTGTCCGTCTGTCTGTCCGTCTGTCTGTCTGTATGAACGCAAGGATCTCCGAAAGTATAAGAGCTAGAATAACCAAACTTGGTATACAGATTCTCCTGAGACCGAGAAAGGACAAGTTTGTTCATTTTTTCTGATCCAACCCCCCACTCCCCCCCTATTACCAATTTTCTATAACTCCCATAATTCTTGGAATTTTAAACTTAAATTTGGTAGTCACATTAGGTTAGTAATTATATATCCGTATACCAAGTTTCATTATGATAGAATGATCAAAAAGAAAGTTATAGCCATATAACCAGGCCCAATGCACACATACATACATATGTACAAGTACACAAACACGCATAGACACGATTCTGATGTACTTGTAAATGTAAATGTATGTATGCATGTATGGAATATTTTATATTTAATTAGTTAATATTTAGTTAATTAATTAAATTAATTTAGTTAATTAATTAAATTAAATTAATTAATTAATTAAATTACTTTTTTGTGGGGTGGTACAGGGTATTTAAGAGTTGAGCCTGCTCGACTTTAGCATTCCTTTCTTGTTTTGACTGGAAAACTTGGTCGTTGGAAGTGTATATCAGATGAAAAGTAGGCGTTTGCTCCAACAAAGTATACTATATACAAGTATCTTTAATCAGTATCACCAAAGGAGTCGACAAAGCAATGTGTGTCCGTGTAAAAAATTACAGTTTGCCTTTCCACTGTATATCTCTTTTTAAAAATCTGTGATTGGTTAATTTTATAATCAGAATCGCAATCAAATTCGAATCAGAACTATAAGCTCATAGGTATATACATATACTCGTATACCTACATAGTACATACTTATATATATGTATATTGATCACTCCATTCCGAATTATTGCCGCCTTCGCAACATGATTTATTCATGCAGTCGCGGCTGCATCTCATTTGATTAATTCATTCGCTTGTAACAATTGCAGATGATCAAATACAAATACATAATGATATGCTGACTGAATTTAATTTAATTGAATTTAATTTTACAATGAAATGATTTTCGGGTAATGGAGGGTGTAGCGTTGTGAAGCTGCCCATTTCACACTATATGAGTTCGTTTTGTAGCTTCATTAAAAAAAGCTAATTTGAAACAAAGAACAAATTTAGCTGCAAGCTGTGTGGTGGCCGTGTAAAATTGTAGTTGGAAAAGAAAACAAAAAACTGTTGGTTGTTTTGTTGAAAAAGAACCAAAATTGTAATTTGTGTCGAAATTTCTGTGAAATATGCGTCAGACTGGCGGCCTTAACTGGCTATGAGTGGGCGTGGAAAGCAGAGACTTACACACAAATGCGACCTTTTGGCATTTGCGGCGCATTTGAAATCGAAAACAAAAGTTAAACCGCTTAATGAAAGCAGGCAAGCGAAAATACTTTATGATAAACACAAGAACTTGGGACCAGCGGCATTACGCCATTACGGTAGCATGGGTACCTCATTAAATTGCAGCCAGAAAGTGTCCGCGCCCAGCGGAAAAATGACCGACGAGAAAGAAAACAACATACAGCACCAATACACAAAAAGCTTGAGAAGGAACAGAAATCTTGTGTAAAAGTGGAGAGGCCAAGAAGCAAATCCGGCGGACGACATTCGACAAAAGGACCGACGTACCGACCGAGTGATTCAGCCTGTGGCCACAATTTCGAAATTTTAAGTCGACTTGTGAACGAATGGAGTACGTACGAGTATAACCAAAACATATTTTAAACTGGCTGTTATCAAGTGAGAGATAAGCGGCTTAATAGGTCAATTCTGTTAAGTCTTCGAAGTTTTATTTTAGAGTTCTAATATTTACAATTACCACAAAATATACAAAAGGAAGAAGTCTTATCATTTATTTATTTATTTATTTATTTATTTATTTGTTTATGATGTAATGTAATGTTTAATTTATGAGGAAGACAATCAACTGAA